TAAAAGAATTCTATCCCTTGATCCGTCTACCACTGAGGATATTTTACTTCAGAACTGTAGTCTGTGCGACCCGGGTGCAGAATTCGTAACAATCAGCCACCATTGGGATTTAAACCTGGTCACCTCATTGGGAGGCGAACGCTCTATTCACCTGAGGCATTGTGGTTATGAAAAACAATTGTATGAAATAAGAATGCATGGCATGTAATGGAAAAATAAACAATATGCCATTACATAAAGTTCATGTTGTCCTTACATGCCACAGGTGTAGATTTAGCTTGTTATAGTATTGAATATTGACATCTATTATTGAAAGTCCTGGGAAAATAAAGTTGTAAGCTACTCTTTTTTTTAAAAAAAAAAAGGTGGCATTTTGACATGAAATTGTTCTTTAGAATTAATCATCTGTAAATATATAATTAATTCTAAAGAACAATTAGTAAGTTTATCGATCTCCGGAATTCATATCAGTACGAAATTCAGAAATATCTTAATCTCTTGATGGAAATGAGGTGTTTTTCAACAGAAACGCTTGCCTCAACACTTTGGAGATGTGGCTAATCATTATATTGCCCAAAATCCTTCGATTGTTATTTCATCGTTTCACATGAAGCTTATTTTCATATTTTTAATTAAAACGTTCTTTTTTGTAAGGAAATTAAAATCAAGAAGAATATATTTTTTACCTATTACTGAAAGCAAATGTAGCTAGCTTATCAGATGCAATATTCTGAGTTTAACTTTGGCTACTTCAGAAATACTTTAATGAGAAAGTTGTTTTTTGGTTGCCATAGTTTCTTGCAAACGATATTAAAGCACGAAATCATATTCGATTCCTAAAGCAAACCCCCAGCTCCTTTGCATGCCTTCTTTTGAAAAATCTATTTGTGTAAACCTTATTGAACGAAATATTGCGAAGTTCTTTGAATGCATTTAGTTGATACACTTGCTGGTTAATTGCTTACAAACAACTTCAGAATCTTCACAAAAAGCCCGGGGAAAAAATAAATCTTGGATTATTCACTTTAAAAAGTTTTAAATATTTTATGATCTTCCAATTCAAATAAACACGTTTAATTTTGGAAAAATGTAAAGCAAAATTGAGTTCTAATTTGTTTTAACTCTTTGTTTTCTAAAATGTCATCAAAGGTATAGCAAATAGTTTAAAGGCTATTGTGCAACACAGTAAAAATCTATTTGTAATCTATTGTAAGTCTATTGTAAATCTATTTGTAATCCATTGTAAAATCTATTGTAAGTTACAAAAATCTAAATTAAAATAATAATAAAGTTGCAACAAATTAGAAATAATACATAGTGAATAATTTTTCGTTTCAGCCAGCAATTTAAGTTTGGAAAAGCCATATCTTGTAATCAAATAATCCATCAATGAATCATATGAATGAATTTTATTTTATTTATTGATAGATTTTTTGCACTTTCATTTCATCAATTACTTATCATAAATAAGAAAATTTGTCTTCCATTTGGATAAGAATTATAAGAAAAGACAACTTACACCGCATTGTGGCAGCAAAATTATTATTTGATGTATGATTCTATCATTCTCAGTTTAGTAAATTTAAAATGAAAGATTTTACCAACCATTACATAAAATAAATTTAAGAATGTGTTCAAATTATCACGTTATTTTAGTTGGACACACCATCAACTTGCTTAACTTCTCTTATTTAAAATGGAGTGTTTTCTTGGATATTTATGGAGGTAATAAATTTCAAACTTTATTTTAGATTTGATTCAATAAATGAGAATTACAAAGATCACTATGTAAACGATTTAAACCAATAACTAAAATCTGTAACTCGTATAATAATTTTTTTACGTGCAGGTAAAATTAAGCAAATAATGCTGAATTAAACTGTTTTTTCACTGAAACTTTAAATATTGTGGGTTAAGTTGGCATCCCTGCAAGAAAAAGTAAATAGTGATTACTGGCCTATAATTGCAGACACTAAGAGCTTATTTTACTCTTCGAGGAAATCAGCAATAAATGAAATGGTTTTACTACTAATTTTCCTTTTCTAAGTCTTTTTTTTAAACCTTGATGCATGGTGATGCTTAAAGAATTTTCTAAATTGTCGAAACATAAATTTTTATTTTTCTGCAACTTTAGAAAAAATACGTTTGAAATAAAAGTCATGCAAGCATATTCAAAACTAATGTGTATTAGTTATGTTAAAATTGAAGGGAAAGCAAAAACTCTTCTGTTACATTAAGCAGATTCTGTACCACACACACACATTCAGTTTCAACTTTTATGGAAAGACGAGAAGCTATCGCAAAAATAATGTTTTCTTAATTAAAGTACAAAACTATACCTGGTTTTAGTCTTAGTTTTCTACAAATTTGCATTTTTATCGATTATAACTAGACACTTAACCCGATCTTCAAATAAGAAAGTACTGCGAATTTTATAATTAATTGTAATTTTATACGTAAAGTGGTACATTTCTTTGAGTGGATCTTTTCTGTTTAATTCTTCATTTTATGACTTTATAAGACTGCCAACTTTCTACATTTTTTTTTAAAGATTATTCCAATATTATGTTTTATTTATTATTCATTTAAACTTATTTTCCACACCACTACATGCAAATAATTTAAAAGTTCATATGCAACGTCATTTGCTCTGTCGTGGTGAGGCTTTTTAAATTTTTTTGCAAAATTACCAAAAATTCTGAAAGCTTTGGTTTTTAAACGTTTACCATTTATAAAATATTTTGAAAAAAAAAAGCGTAGTACTTGGCTGGGCTGATTCTGATTGTCACTACATCTAAATAAGTTGAACAAATAGAAATAAAATTTTGCGATTATACATTCAGGTAAAATCAAAATATAAAAACATTTCTGATTGGAGTTCAAGGGGTTAGAGGAAAAACTCAGTAAGTGACATCTTCAGGATTATTAATTAATCAGGGAAAAAGTGATCGCATCAAAATGAATGTGTATAGCATAACAGAACTGTTTTTGCTTATACTTTAAATTTAACATAATATACCGGCATTACTTTTGAGTATGCTTGCATGATTTTTATTTCAAATTAGATAGTAGTAAATAAAAAAGATGACGAAATATAAGCCCCTTCTGCTTATAAATCTATAATAAAATAATTGGTTACTGCTTCTTTTCTTCTTTCCTTGATTTTTTCCACTCTGAAAATGTCACTTACCTGGTTCTTTCACCAGGCTCTTAAGTTGTATATCAGTCACTTCACTAACACTTAAGAAAATCATCCTTGGGAAAAGTTAAAGGTATGCTTTTGAATGAAAAATCTATTCGATTTCGTTAGTATCTCAGTAAAGGTAATTCAGCTGCCAAATTGGTGCCATATATAACCCAATTGGTATATTGAAATCGTTTAACAATAAACAATTCATCTGCCATATTGAGATCAGCCAATTTATCTGACAAATCAAAGGAAACGAATTCAAATTAAGTCACGATTCAAGAAAGAAAAATTCGCCTGGAAACATAAATTCGAAAGTTCGCTCGTATCTGTCTTTAAAGGTGTTAACTCAAACCACCTGCTCTACCTGGGAAAAGTTCCAGTGTTTTAAAAATGATGGGAGATTTCCTTTCGAATCACCAAGAATTCTCGTCCTTCAACAAAATAGAACAGTTTCAAGAATAAAAATGAAAAACGTTCTCTTTTGTTACCGTTCGCCATTTTTTTCTTCTCTTGCAATGAGTTTTTACGATTATGCTTTCTTTGTATACTGGTACAGACTTTAAGATTGATTTTTAGCGATAAAATTCCTTCTGTATTGTTTTATTTCTAGTTTAAAATATGATGTATGTAACGAATGCACGTTAGAGTTCTATGAATATACGTTTATAGTCTCGTAAAAATGCTAACAATTTATTTCTGTTCTTTGTTTACATTTAGTACGTTTACCCTTTAATTGTAAAAGTGTTCCGAATGCCACATTTTCTTCCAAATTCTACAGGATTAACAAAAAATTGTTCCTTGGTTAATTTGTGTGTCATAATAAAATAAAACAAACTATATGAGGAAACGAAATAAATCTTTTTTAGTTATATCTGAATAAAAGAATGAGAAAATATGAAGAAGAAAAAATTATTCGTTGATTTGTATGTCTCTGAGAACCATCTTAGCGAATTTATTACGAAACCACATGGTGAAAATGGTAACTTATTTGCCTTTAAACCAAATGGTTATTTTCAGAAATGCCAACCGGCTCCACTTTATGGAGATTTTTTTTCCAGTGGTAGCAAACTTTACGTTTTTATTTAATTCTTGATTTAATTATTTTTTTTAAGAAAACGAATTTCACCTATCACTACATATAAATAGTTGAAAGATATAATAAAAATTTAACTGCTACCTGTAACAGATAACTCGTAAAAAATCCCCAAAAATTATAATCTTTAATGCTTTACCACTTCATTGTTTTGCAAAAGGCGCAGTGTTTGGCAACCCTTTATTTAGATAGTATCAATTTTTAAAAAGCCTCATGTATCCTATCTGAATATAATAAATTAATTGCTTTTATGTAACGGTGACAGTGATGCCACCGGTGACTAATAATGTATCAAATTTAACAGCTTTTTCTAACATATTTCAATTTGATTAATATTGGAGGTAATATGTGAATAAATTTTTAATTTAATTATAAATAGTTTGCAATGTAAGTAATGGAAACTAGATTCCTATCATACAAACAATGAATGATCTTTCAATGGCCAATATACAAATGATAGAAGGTGTAATAATACACACAAAATACAGTTTTGCCTTCAAGAGAAGAACGAACAGTTTAAACATTTACTAGAACTTTAATTTCGAAACTTTTTCTTGCGTTATGATTTGTGACATGCTGTGATTTGCACCATACAATACTGATGTTTCTGCCTATCAAGGGAAATGACTTACAGTACATATAATACAACAGTTACTTATTTATTTCATTTTATTTATTTATTGAATGATATTCCTTACACTTTTCTTTTTATTTCAGTGTTTTATGTTGCGCATGCTCAGAGGGGAGGATGTTCCAGAGAACGCATGCGGCAATGTGAGGATACTTTAATGCGGAGCATTCAAAGGAGGCATAACGATCTTGGACGCACGGAAATGCAATCCCATTGTTCGTGAGTATACTTATTGAGAAGTATAACTGTAAATGCAAATTGCACGAATGCGTGACGAAATGAACGCATTAATTTTCGCATTCAGATATGTTTCTCTTGAATTTTCAACAATTTTTGAAACCTGCGGATTTGTTAAGGCACCTATTTTCCTTTAAATTCTTAACACGTTTTTTTCCCTTCGGTTTTCTAAACCGTGGGAAACCATAGCCTTCTCGAATAGAAAATCTCCACACGGTTTCTTAAATATTGAAGGTACACTGCTTGAAATTTTCGGGCTTGTTGAACCATGTTATCATTCAAATTGGCTGCAACTTTTTTATAGTGCTAAATTAAATTATATTATCGTTTTTCTTCAAATTTATTACTCTACACTATATGGTTCAACTTTAACAGAACACGGCTCATTTTTACCCTATATTAAGGGTGCAAGAAAACGGTACTCTATGATAGCGTAAAGTAATAATCGTGAGGTAATGATGGTTAAGTAATAATCGTGCACTTCCAATGGATACCATCCCAATTGCTATGCATGGTAATGAGACGGCAGATGTTTCGGTTAAAGAGTGCTCTGTTAAGCCGTTGAACGCACCAGATTCACTAACCTAATTGGAGCAATTTTCAAGAGTAAATAAGCTGAAAATATTTCCTGGACTAACTCACCTGCTGCCCGATGGTACCAGGGAAAGTGCCCTGGGGTGCTTTATCACTCAAGTTTTACAGGTGGGACCAGATGGTCATCACCAGGCTTTTCTCTGTCTCATTTTCTTATGGAAAAAAGGGTTTTCCAGCCTGTGTGAAATGTGCTGACCATCAGGCCACCCCAGATCATGTACTAGATGTTCTAGAGCTTTCCAGATCAGATTTTTTTTACAAACCCAATTCTAATGTTAGACTTTCTTTGAGTGATAGATTTCACAAACCTGATTTAGCGTTGCTAAACAACGGAGATACGCAACAGCAACAGCAAAGTAACGATATTACGACTCTATGTTTAACCGATTTTTTTTTTAGTGGGAGAGACAGTGATTTGCTCAAACTACCTAGAAAGCAAAACAGCTTACGCACAAACCAACTTTTATTTATTCGATATTTATACACAGGTAGATCAAAATAACTTATGTACCCTATCTATCTAAACAATTTTTTTTTAGCAACAAATGTTTTGGAAAATTTTATATGGCAAAACTATTGACAGAATTTGAATCGTGCTTAAAGTTTTTAGAAATGAAGTTATTTTTTAGTCATGCTAAGTGCGTCTCAACCAAATTGAACTTTGTAAGTTAATATCTTTCTAGTTTTAATACCAGAATTTTGAAATCATTTCACAGGGTTGCAATATTTATGTAAGATGAATTTTCTTTAAAGAGGTATTGAAAAAGGAATTCAGCTTTTGATTTCATATACTTATTTTGATCGATCCGAACTTTGCATGGAAAAGGACACTATTTTTAAAAATTTTAAGCGTGATCTTTTGCCAACGATTTCGTCATGTAAAATCTTCCAAAACATGTGTCGCTAAAGAAATACAGTTAGTATAGAAGTTTTTCCTTTATTTTAATCAAACCCTGTATTTTTGATGTAGCGGATGACGAGGAATTGAGAAAAATCGATTTTATACTTCAGTTAAGTAGACTTCAAGATGCACCATACCCTACCACTTACTTGTTTTTACTCGCTTACCTATTGAATGGTCTAATAAGTTTAATTTTTGGAAAAGTGTGTTAAAGCCTTTAGTTTTATAGTAGGTATTGAGAGGGCCTTGATCCTGGTCACTATTTTTATTCCCAGGATTTCAAATATTGAATGAAGACACTATTTTAGTCTTTTAAACCTTAGTATTACAGTGTTTCTTGGATGTTTTTGTGGTTTTCCTCTTTATATAACACAAATACGCGTTAGTTCCATCAAAAAGTCCTCCACGAAGGCAAATTTCTCTCAATACTTGATCCAGGAGTTCCCTTATCTTCTGGATTTGGTTCAAAATTATAAGGCTAAGGAGTTAAACATTGGTAATTGTAAACTCAAAATTGGGTCAGCTGTTTAACGGCGGTTATAAAAAAAATTAAAATAAAGGTAGTTCGTTGAAATAAATCTATATTTTCGAGCGAAATTTTAAAATTGATTTTAAAAATGTGAAACATTCCTAATGAAATTTATTTGGAAAACAACATTAATACACTAGATATAAAAAAAAAATTTGTATAAAATATAGATAACAATGCATACAAATTATAATACAACTTTAACTTTAACTGATTCCGTATTGAGAAATCATAGATGACCGATACCGGAAATAAAAATTGTTTGTTACTGTTAATTAGACATAAAAATATAAATCTAAAAAGCCTCAAACATCAAATATAAATTGTTTACTACTGTGCATTAAGCATTAAAGTATAAATCTAGATTAAATAAATACCACATTGTACACTTCCGTCTCCAAAAACACTTAAGCGTTGTGTATTTTTAGTAAGTCTGGCTTAAATATGTTGGGAGCAACAGTTGTATACACGTGTCTATAGCACATTCATCCTTGGATGAACCAAGATTCTTGAAGCTGAGCAAATACCATTTTAAGACTGTGTCCTACTTTTGAACATTTAAAGGGATTACACAGTACAAACATCTCTAACAGAAATATGCCTAGGCAGATAAAACACTATTACTAAGAAAATTTAAGATATTTAACGTCTTTTTAGGTGACCCCGCCCTCTCCATGTGTGTTTTAAAAGAAATCTGAACTGAAATCGTTTTACTGATTGATTTTATTATCCTTTCATTTAATCTATTTAATATCCTTTTCCTTATTCTTTCCTTCCCTACATTTATATATTTAACTTTTATTCTTGTTTTGTGATTTACTTAAATTTCGCCAATTATATATTTTTAAAAATTACTCTGAAGAACAATTATTATTTTTTTTTTTTTTGCATGAGATTTTTTAACACTAGGTTTACGGACGTTTCTTATATACCTATCTCTACGAACACACGTCAATTTGACCCATGAACGAATACATATAACAGCACTTACAGAGATGCCAACTTGCACCGGCCAGCAAATATATATTTTAAAGTGGTAGTTTATCAATTGTGATTCTTGGTTTAATAAATTCAATTTAGCAGATTTTTATCCACCACTATTTCTGTATAATTCGTAGGCTTATAAAATTTACCACTTTATATTAGCAAAATTTGTTACCGTTTTTTTAAAATTATTTTAACTTGTCCGGGGCAGTTGGCATCTCTGCACTTAGAAAGCAATGTAATTATATACTAATAGAAAAAAAATGAAAATATGATATATTGTATATATTTGAAATATTCTAATATTTTATTTTTCAATACTCGAGCTAAGCAACTGAAACCTTCAAAATCTGACATCAATTGACATTTTGCTTTTGTTCTTTCTATTATCGCTTATCGGCAACAGTTGTTTATCGCTTGTTTCATTTGAGATAAGGATATCGGATAACGGATCGAAGTATTGTCGGTACATTCCTATTTATTATTGATATGATGTTTGCAAGTTTACAAAAATTTTTGTCTAAATTACGATGGCGTCAAATTGACGCATATCCGAAGAGATAGGTATACCACAAGGAGAATTTCAATATTTCAACGCTTTTGAAGAAATTAGACTTCAATATATGTTTACCTCGATCAATGGATAAAAGTCATTACAAGAGATAAAATAAAAATGCAAACGGGTTTTGTAATTTTTCTTATAAAATCCAAAATGCGTCAAAATGACGCGCCCCTTAAACCTACCGTTAACAGACATGTTTTTTAACAGATGCAGTTATTTCATATCTGCAATCGGTTTCTCTCTCTAAGCTATAATTTTTCTTAACGTAATATTTTTCGTTAACTTTTTGTCGAAATGTGCAAGATTAAAAACGTTATATATAACAAAAAGTCACATTAATGTTGCGACAAACTTATAAGGAAGTTAAGGCACATCATTACCTAAAATGTCATCATGCACCACTAGGGGCGCTTTCTAATATGAACTGTTTCTTCATGTTATTCTGAATTAGTCATAATAGGAAAGCGTCTCTAGCCGCGTGCGACGATATTTCCGGGCATGGGTTCTTATACAATTTTAATCCTGATGGTGTGACCTAACGCCCCTAGAGGTTTGTCTCAACATTTACGCGACTGGATTACGCGACTATCACTGTTTAACTCTATAGCCTTGTAATTTTGAACACAACCCAGAAGACAAGATGACTCTTTTATCAAGCATTTGGACAAAGTAGCCTTCGTGATGAACTTTTTTAAGGAACTAACCCGCATTTGCATTACATGAAGAGGAAAACTAATAAAACCTCCCACGGTTAAGTCGACGGCAAGAGAATTCTAACCCATGATCTGTCTACTACTAAGGATATTTTACGTCATCACTGTCGTCGGTGTTGACGTAAAATATCCTAAAAAATCAATACAAATTTTATAGTCAATGAAAAGTTTAGGGTCTCATAATCAGCAGTATTCTGCCCAGGGCCTCAACTTCTCTTAATAGGGCCCTGCTTCTAGATCCTGAACTGTTTTTGTTGTTTATGACTAAAATATTATTTTGTTGAAATAATAGCAAATAACCATTGAATATATTCAAACAAAATTTAAATAAGTGCCCAAAAACAAATGTCAAACTTCAAAAAAGGAATGTATATGCGATACATTTAAACTATCAAAACTTTATAAAAAACATGAGAGAACATTATTAATGCGAATGAGAGAACTTATCAATATATAATACGAATAGTTTTAAAGTACGGACATTTTTAAATAAAATGCAATAATACAAATAATTAAGTGATAAAAAAAATGCGCAAATATCAACTTTTACAACCATTGATATCCTGAATTGATTTAAGTGGCAATGTCAAAAATATTACTTTCATTCATAAATCAAACTTTAACTATTGAATATACACTTGAAGTAAGTGCTCAAAAAATAAATATCAACATTCCAAAAAGAAATGTAATAACAATAGCCTTAAACTAGCAAAGCTTCTACAACAATGGAAATGGGAAGAACGCATATCAATAAAATATAAGGAAAATATTTACTTCAACCATTTCAGCAATAAATTTAAGTTTGTTTCAAAATTTCAACTTTACGAGAACAACGCTAAAAAACGGAAGGAAAAGGTAATTTTAAATTCGGGAAATGGTTAACAACAATGACCGTCACACGTGTTGCGTATCCATGCCAAGGCTACACCTTCCCTCGGACAAGGCAACAACTTGGCGATTTTTTTTCCTTCTTTATTCATTTCTACTATTTACTTCTCTCAGTCAGAGTAGACGTGTTCAGTGCTTTTTTGACGCCCTGCTTACGGCCAGAGCAATGGAAAGTCACGACTTAACCATTTATTTGAATGATACCGGTACTTGGCGAAAAATATTCTGCCCTTGCGGTTTTGAAATTATTTGTCTCAAAGATGAAAGATGACAATGAGCTGGAGATGGCATGATGTACGGTCTTTTCACAATGTTTCCGACACACGCGAATTCTATTGTTTCCATACTTTCTTTTGGAACGAAATTTATCCTTTTTCTGAAAAATATTCCACCAGAATACACACTGGAATGAATACACTCTTCGAAAAAAGTTCATTGATTTTGAAAATTTTGCATTTTGATGACATATACAGTTTCTGATGCTTAAAAGATAATAATTGTTTATTAAAATTAATTATAAATTTTAGTGTAATGGTGATGTGGCAGAGTTTCACCATAAAAAAAAATTAAACTTTTGAAGGATCTAAGAGGAGTTATTTGAAATAAAACATTCATTATTTTTAAAAAATAATTTTATCACGAATTTTTTTTCCTGCTAGATATAGCTAAGGACCAAGCAATTTAGTAAAAAAAATTTTTTGGATCAGGGAGTGCAGAGTATCCGCAAGCCTTAAAAATTTTAAAAAGTAGTGACCGATATTAAACTGTTCATGTTCATACAATGATTCATGTAGATTTAAAAAAGCATTCAGCTATAATAATCCCATAGTAGGGTACCTTTATGCTGTCATAAGTATTAACAGTGGTTGAAGCCGCTATAAGAAATTAGGATGTAGTAGCCAGTTTTCTTTAATCTACTTCAACTTCTTCGGGACGGACGAGCTGCGAGTCATAAATGCATTCGTACAGAATCAGAATCAAGATGAAAAGAAATAAATAAATAAAAATCAGTAACCTAAATGAGGACATAGCAAATTTAATTCTAACATATCTAATCAATGTACTGGAATAGACTAGATACGTGATGATACGTAGTTCCAGCCAGCGGTAGAGAGCACCTAGCTCCATCAGTACAGTTGTCCTCTTGGCCAACTGTGTCTAATAAATAAAAATCAGTAGTTTAAATGTGGGCCTGGCCAACCAGAACCGGAATCAAGACAAAAAAAAAAGAAAGAAAAATCATTATCTTAAATGTGGGCATAGTCAATTAATTTATCAGACTTATTTTTGCTTTCACTTTAATTCTAGCATATCTAATCAATGTACTAGAAAAGACTAGATATGTGATGATGTACCTCTTCGAAGAAGCGAGCACCTTATTCCATCATCTGTCCAATCGCCCTAGGGCAACTGTGTCTAATAAATAAAAATCTTTAGCTTAAATGTGGACATGACCAATTTATTAGACTTATTTTCTATTTCAATTTAATTCTAACATATGTAAGCAATGTACTAGAATAGACTAGATATGTGACGATATGAAATATCTGTGATGATATAATAAACTTTTAGATTTCACTTTAATTTGAAAATAATACCATCTTCAGTTTTATAACTTTAATATGGGAAACTTTCACATAGATATATTTTTGTAATGACCTAACATAAACAACGCTAAATTTGCTGTTTTTATTTACTTACATTATCGAAATCGTCACAAATCAATGTACTGAAATTTCGATGAATAGTTTATTTAAAATTTCTATATAATAATTATTATATAAGCTATGCCGTTCGTACTTTTTTTTTTACCCAGTGCTGCAAAATGACCTTTCTACAAGTTCGAATTTTCAAAAGTTTTAAAATAAAAAATAAATAAATGTCAACTATTTTAGAAACGCATTATTTGTCAACTGAATATCTCTTTAACGGTTAACCGTCACACAGCAGTGCTGCCATTGTAGGTAACAGCAGGTAGAAAGTGAAGTTAAGGCCTTCACGCTTGAAGAGATACAAGGACAAACAGACATTAAGTACCGCTCACAAAACTATTCTTTGCCTTTTTACTCCTTGTTATATATATCTGAAATAATAAAAAGTATTGTTTATTTTATTTCTCCTTCAGTTTGCTCGTTTTGTTCGGTAAAATTATCTTTAATGAATCTTCATTTATGATTATTTAGAGATCTAGTATAATTAATGGTTTATCTGGGTTATATCATTTAAGTAAAGTTCAGCGCACGGGAAGTGCAGTTAATACATATTTTTTTTCTCCATTATATCAAAACCTAGATTTTCTATTTCAGATATTTCAAACCATCCATTAACGACCGTAAAAATATCATCGAAATAAACTGAATCGTTCTTATATTAACCGATATTGTAAAGATGTTCATTTCCTCTACAATCTGCTCGGTTTGTTTCGTGAAATTTTTTTAAATGATACTTAAACTGAGATTATTTAGAGACCCAGAATAGTCAATAATTAATCCAACTATCATATAGAAACATTAGTTCTTCGTTAATGAAGTTGTATTTATACATGCTTTTACTCCATTGTAACTCATTGACTATATTTTACCTCTGTACATATCTTTTAGCGAACACGAAAATATTATCAAAAATTAATTTAGTTTGGGAACGCTTTATCGTAAGAATGTTAAAGAATTTGAGAACTTATACAAAGATGTATGTCCACATTTAAGAATATAGTTCTAAAAATATAGCTTATAATTCATATAAATACACCACCTTTTCGCATTAATTTGCATTTGAGGGAAAAAGTTATCGCACTCCTAAAAATTGCTTCCTCCAAAACAATCATTTTTCATACTCTCAGATACTTCATAAGTTTACAATCGATTTCATTAAAAAGTTAACATCATGTACGATGTGCGGCTAATTAATTTCCATATCATACTCCAAAAAATATGTGTGTAACATAGCCATTATGTTTCAATATTTACTCCACCTGATGTAATGAACTGTACTCGTCATTAAAAATTACAAAAGCAACTTTTAAAATCTTCTTTCGTAATACTATTCTATCCTGATGTTCCTAATATATTTTTGACATCCTTAAACCATCTTTCTTTAGCAAATTTTTCAGTTTCGAAAATAAAAATTTAGCTAGCTCATTTTGTGACGTAGCAAAGTTAACTGTCAACCGAGCTTAAAGCCAAGAAAGTAAAAATTTGCCTCAACTTTGTTCCAAATCTAAACAAACAAGGGTTTAGAGGTTTCTCATACTTACCCAAACCAGCAGAGTTTGAACTAGTTGGACCTCTTTCTTGGCCTCGAAGATTAGCAATAGTTGAGGCAAATATTTACATTGGTAACAAAACAGTTAAAAGGGTCTGTTCAAGGGATCTGTTGTCCTTTAAAAAGCTATCCGTACCAGAATTTTAAATGTTGTTTCCGGAATTTTAATGATTGGATGCATTTATAATATAGTTTTAAAAATAGTTTATTCTTTTTGCAGGAATGTGAGGGATGATTTCAACTGCTTGCTGAGAGAAACTAGATGTCTAACATCAGAGACTGATCGTAGCCGTAACGGTGATTCTTTGAGAAATGCTCTCAAGTACATCCGGGATGGTTGTGACAGCAGTGGAAGTAAATATTTTATATTTTTAACAATGATATTTTTTCATTATATTAGTTTTTGTCTTACAAAATTGTTAAAGTAGATAACTCATGAGTTACATTAATTTTCGAAATTTATTCCGCTGTTTAACAATTCATTTTATATACTTCAAAAATATAGCCTCAAAAATTCGTGATTTTATTATTTTCAGACTCGAAAAACATAGTGGTGAATTACCATAACATTCAAATTTCGAACAATTTGGAAAAAATTAAAAACTGGTGTCTGATTAATCTTCAAGATTAAATTAATAAAATCATTTTTATACATATTTGAAAACATAATATCGTAACTGCCGAATTTTACAGAGATAAATAAAAATTTTATATGCATTATTTATTAATTAATTTTTTTGTAGTTAAGATGACAGGAAAATTTACTCTTGATCTAATTAATGTTTGGATATATAATCTAAAAGTTTTTGACAACGGATTATTTTTTTTGCAGTAAAGATGGCAGCAAAATTTACTCTTCATCTAATTATTGTTTTGATATATAATTTAAATGTTTTTGACCACGGATATAAATATAAAGAAATATTTATGTAAATACACGATAATAATATGATGCTAAACTTAAATTCTAAAAAAAAAGAAAAAGTTATTTCTACTTTTAGAATTCAATTGTCGTTTCATTTCCTTTACGAAAAATCGTCTCAGTAGAAAAAAAAGGTTGGGCGTGCATGATAGAAAGATTTCTTCGAATCGATGATGTTCCTTGTGATCTCAACGTAGTTCAGCAAACAAAATACTAGTTTTATATCCACAGTATCCGGTCTGGTTAAAAAAATAAAAAAAAGAGAAATACAGAAGCCGACAAGAGTCAAAATCAGAAGGGGGGTGGGATGGGCAAAGCACAGAAAGGGTGGTTAAAGCGAAATAAAATGCTCTGGAAGCAAAAATAAATGTTTTGGAAGCTCTGAATTTGATTTCTACAGCGTTGGATAGTGTCGACTTAAACAAATTACAAATAGATGTAATAAAGCTTCTCGGGGTCAATTGCTTCTCAGTATCTGACGGACACATTAAAGGAAGAGCCCTTTGTAATAAAATTGCGTGGCTGAAGATGTTCCGACGAAGAATGACCCGTATTATCGACTGTAAGTCACACATCGCACAACTTTTCAATTCCTTCAATATCTGATTCAATGCTTGAATCCGATGATAGTAATGAAAACGATGAAAGATGAACAAAAAATCAAGATCTAGAGTGTGAAAGCATAAAAGCTTTGAAACATTTGCGAATGTAAATCAAAAAGCAATTTTGTAAGCAATAGTAAATATTGCGAGGGATATTGTTAAAATTGTATCTAAAAACAAAAAAGCATGTAAAATTTACACATAGTTCATCGATGTGTGGTCAATTTTTGAAAAATATGCTTAGATTTTTTTAACCCCGATTCGTGCGTTTTTTGACGTTAGTCCTGACGAAAAACTTAAAATCGGGTTTCCGCTGTTTATTTAAGCTATTTATCTTTTTTTGAAGTTCAGGCAATTCTTTTCAACTGTCTTAGATTAAAGCTTTGTTTTGAGTTTAAAATACATGCGCTAATAGTTTCCTAAGCAAGAAATTTACTATCTTTGTTTTATTCTATCACGTCACAGTCTTCAACATCAATGAAATAATTTTATTTTAAATCAGGCCCGATTGTAGTATACTGATATTTCTCTTTTTCTTATACTTATAGATAGTTGGCGTGACAGCAATTGTTTCATCGGAGTAGACATGAAGAGTTGTGAGAGTTCTTTTCCTCTAGGAGGAGTTCAGTTTTCTTCCTACAACCCTGAGACATGCAGGTAATTTATTAATATACCCTTTGACAAAAACAAAAGCAAAAAAAAAAATTACGACATTGGTTCCCGCAATATTTTTATGATTGTTGTCGTTGGCCATTAAGGCAAGGATTGCGCCCAAATCCAAAAGCAAGACAAGAAAAGACTTTTAAAATAGAATTTGGGTTCATGCACACAACTGTTCACTTTTTAAATAGTCTGCGCAGACTACTTATAAAATACCGTGTGAAGGCTTTCTGAAGTAGGAGGCAGGGCCTAATTATCGCCTAGGCCCAATAGACACGGGCCTAGGGCCCACACTATCTGAGGGCCTCAACAATTAGTAAAACGTTCACAATATTACATTTAAAAAAAGTAGGGGAGAGTGGGGTCAATTGTAACAGGGTACGATTGTAACAGAGCAAAAATTTCGAGTGTCGGGTTCTAGATTTGGTTCCTAGGTGGCGCACAAGGTGTATTTAATAAATGTACATGTACACCCCTGATGTCAACCATTTTTATGAACTTTTGAAAGAGTTACATCACAAAAGATATTTTCACGCCACGCAAGTACTTTTTTTGGTATTAGAATATTATATTGTAACAAAGTAATTTTGTTTAAACAAATAAAAATTAGAAACCGAATATGTAAGTGGACACTTTAATTAACATTTCAATAAAAAAAAANGATTCTTTTTACAGTTAGGACTACTCTTCAGAAATGTTTTTCTTGAATCATGCAGTTCAATAGATTCTTTTTACAGTTAGGACTACTCTTCAGAAATGTTTTTCTTGAATCATGCAGTTCAATAGATTCTTTTTACAGTTAGGACTACTCTTCAGAAATGTTTTTCTTGAATCATGCAGTTCAATAGATTCTTTTTACAGTTAGGACTACTCTTCAGAAATGTTTTTCTTGAATCATGCAGTTCAATAGATTCTTTTTACAGTTAGGACTACTCTTCAGAAATGTTTTTCTTGAATCATGCAGTTCAATAGATTCTTTTTACAGTTAGGACTACTCTTCAGAAATGTTTTTCTTGAATCATGCAGTTCAATAGATTCTTTTTACAGTTAGGACTACTCTTCAGAAATGTTTTTCTTGAATCATGCAGTTCAATAGATTCTTTTTACAGTTAGGACTACTCTTCAGAAATGTTTTTCTTGAATCATGCAGTTCAATAGATTCTTTTTACAGTTAGGACTACTCTTCAGAAATGTTTTTCTTGAATCATGCAGTTCAATAGATTCTTTTTACAGTTAGGACTACTCTTCAGAAATGTTTTTCTTGAATCATGCAGTTCAATAGATTCTTTTTACAGTTAGGACTACTCTTCAGAAATGTTTTTCTTGAATCATGCAGTTCAATAGATTCTTTTTACAGTTAGGACTACTCTTCAGAAATGTTTTTCTTGAATCATGCAGTTCAATAGATTCTTTTTACAGTTAGGACTACTCTTCAGAAATGTTTTTCTTGAATCATGCAGTTCAATAGATTCTTTTTACAGTTAGGACTACTCTTCAGAAATGTTTTTCTTGAATCATGCAGTTCAATAGATTCTTTTGACAGTTAGGACTACTCTTCAGAAATGTTTTTCTTGAATCATGCAGTTCAATAGATTCTTTTTTCAGTTAGGACTACTCTTCAGAAATGTTTTTCTTGAATCATGCAGTTCAATAGATTCTTTTTACAGTTAGGACTACTCTTCAGAAATTTATTTTCAAAATATTTTGTTGGGGGCCCCGAAAATTTTTTGGGCCTGAATTTGTCTTGATCGGTCCCTGATAGGAGGTGATGCTTATATAGGTTCATTTCTAAAATTACTGTTTTAGGGAGGAGTTTGTATTTTACGTGTTTCGAAAGTTATTGCTGAGTTAAGTAAATGTCCATTATGAGTACGCTTGTGAAAATTAAATAAGAATGATTAAAATAATGTGTAACATCCTCCGCTCGCTCCGTACCTCACTGACGGTTTAGAACGATGTCATTAAAAAAAAAACTTTTTTTCATTTTTAAGATATCTCATTAAATAAAATATCGACATTTAGTAAAAAGAATGCATCGAATTATTTCAGGAAGTACAACTTGTTCTACGACTGCGTTCAGGATATTGTCCGAACTCGATGTAGATCAGACGATGACCGATACTTGGGTCAATATCTGGTTGATACTGCCCAAGACCTCGCCTGGAACTGCGGAGAATCATCTACCACTTCTGATCGATTCAGGCAAGATGATCGACGTGATGATCGCTATAACGATCGAGATCGAATGAACGATCGAGATCGAATGACAGATCGAGATCGAATGAACGATCGTGAAAGAGATCAGCAAAGAGGCGGGAGCTATAGCGGAAGAGATGATCGATACGGTGGTGGTGGATACGGAGACAGAGATGGCGATCGATATGGCAATGGAAGATATTCTGGCACTTATTCGAATGGGAATGGTAAGATATTTTAAATTGCAAGTTTATAATACCATTGTTTAAATTAAATTTATATGCTAATTTATAGAAAAATAATAGAAAAACGCAAAATACAAACATATACACAAATTTATATATACAAACACAAAAGAAGAAGCTTTTGAGTAATTAATTCTAACGCATTAATAACGAAAAGGAAATATTTACTAGTGGAAAGAATGTTTGAATCATAAGAAAAATATAATAGTTTGGTTCAAATTTACAACATTTTTTAATCAGTTTTTACTGAGAAATGTAAAAAAAAAAANAAAAAAAAAAAAAAAAAAAAAATTACTACACTCATAACTAGAGGACGATAATTAAATTACAATTTTAGAAAGAAATATTGTCCTTAAAAAATATACTTAGGCCAAAGCTTATTCGTACTACTGCATGATTATCGTAAATTTTATAAATATGTTTATTTAATTTATATACAGTGGTGTTTAAAATCGCTTTAAGTTAGATTTATAAAACAGCGGATCCCAAAATGGTGTTCCGTGGAACACTTTAGTTCAGTCGGAACGTCACAGGGGTCCCGAAAGTCAGAACAACGTTATTAAACCCAATAATAAAATTTATATCCAAACAATTTTCCATTTAAAATTTCATTAAAAACTATTCTCTATACCTATTCTCAGCTACTCATACATTCTATAACTATTCTCAGCGTTTATTTTCGTCTTTTTTTTTTCATTTTTATTTCAGCTCATTTAGTTATGGCTTATGCATACAATAAAATCAAATTACAAATTAAGACTAGATGCTACCTGAGGTCTGTAAATTCAGTTATGTGACATAAAATCCAATTTAAAGACCAGTATAGTTAAAACTTCACGAGGAAAAAATTTCATTCTACATTTATTCATTAAATATTTTTTTTTAAAAAAAATCTAAAAAAAATGCATTTCAATAAATATTTTCAAAATAAATAATGGTGATTAGTTTAATAATATTTTTCACTATTGCTAATGAAATCTCTTCTAAGTCTCGAGATTCCGCTAATAGGAAAACGATCATTTATGCTTCAGTCGTTGAAAAAAATTGGGAACGCAGTTATAAAGAATTTAAATTCTTAAAAGAATTTAAAAGGAACATTCCAAGTTTTTCTACAATTTTAAATGTATAAATAAAATCATTATAAAATTTGCGTAGCCGTGTAAGCTTAGTCACGACCCTTATAAAACCACCGTAATGCCCTGGACGTTGCTGTTTCTTATTTGTTGGTCTAATTACTGTTATTTCCAAATTTATAATCTTGCGATTTCTATTAACCCTTTAGTGGGCCATTTATTTCTAGTACAGGTAAATTAAAGAATTTTTGGAATTGAAATTCATATCAGAATAGTAATTGATATGAGAAAAGAAAAACTCATTTAGCTTATAAAAATATTAATTTAAATTTTAATGCTATTTTTTTGGTGGTAAGTAAATTTACCTCGACCTATTAGGGATTTATTGACATTTTTTTTATTTATTTATAAAATAAATTTTATAAATGTTACAAACTTCAAAAGGAATTATGTATTTTATAACTTTTATACGTTTTCTTATACTAAATTGGTTGACAATTTTATTCAAACGCACTCCAAGGAAGCTAAAGTTATTAACAAACGAAAGCCTAAATTAAAAGTGGTAGAAAAATTAACATGGACTTTAAAAATTGGTGGTAAGTATATTTCCCACGGCCTTAGAAAGGGTTAATGATCCAGGATTTGTACGCACCGGGAAAAATAAGAGAAGTGATAATAAAATGAAGCATTGTATTTTATTACCTTCGGAACTGCTAGAATATTTAGTTTATTCTCAGTATATGTATATTCGAAGACCTGGAATTTAAGAATTTCATAGTAAAATGAATGTTAATACTTAAAGATTTTCAATTTCTTTACGAATAAAACTGATACCAGCATTAGTAGCAGTGTCCTATAAAACATTGGGTAGTAGTAGTAATTTATTTACGTCGAACGAAAGCTTCACAATGGGCTATTGGCGACGGACTGGTTACAACGTTGATTAAATACCATTGAGCCCAATTATAAATATTGATTCCAATGAAGTCCACTATCATGTATAAATTCGTATACCCAATAAAATTATCCACTTTAAACAAAATACCACTCTTTCTATTTTAAAGAAAATGTTTAAGCACAAACTAAATGTTTTATAAATGATTTTTAAAAAAATTAGATATCAATTATTTTAACGAAACAATATGCAATTTATACTCTGCGACAAAACATATAAAACGAAAACTATTTGCGATATTAGTGCAATAATTTAAAAAAAAAAAAAAAACGGGTGATATATTTTCAAAATTATTTGTGTTATTTATCACTTTTCAGAACACACTGTTTATCTAAACCTTCTGCAAAAGTATATTCTCATGAAGAACTAATAAATATTAACTTAATAATCCAATAATAATATTTTTAAAAGAAATCGGCCTTTTTTAAATATATAAATATTTAGATGAGAGTTGNGACTACTCTTCAGAAATGTTTTTCTTGAATCATGCAGTTCAATAGATTCTTTTTACAGTTAGGACTACTCTTCAGAAATGTTTTTCTTGAATCATGCAGTTCAATAGATTCTTTTTACAGTTAGGACTACTCTTCAGAAATGTTTTTCTTGAATCATGCAGTTCAATAGATTCTTTTTACAGTTAGGACTACTCTTCAGAAATGTTTTTCTTGAATCATGCAGTTCAATAGATTCTTTTTACAGTTAGGACTACTCTTCAGAAATTTATTTTCAAAATATTTTGTTGGGGGCCCCGAAAATTTTTTGGGCCTGAATTTGTCTTGATCGGTCCCTGATAGGAGGTGATGCTTATATAGGTTCATTTCTAAAATTACTGTTTTAGGGAGGAGTTTGTATTTTACGTGTTTCGAAAGTTATTGCTGAGTTAAGTAAATGTCCATTATGAGTACGCTTGTGAAAATTAAATAAGAATGATTAAAATAATGTGTAACATCCTCCGCTCGCTCCGTACCTCACTGACGGTTTAGAACGATGTCATTAAAAAAAAAACTTTTTTTCATTTTTAAGATATCTCATTAAATAAAATATCGACATTTAGTAAAAAGAATGCATCGAATTATTTCAGGAAGTACAACTTGTTCTACGACTGCGTTCAGGATATTGTCCGAACTCGATGTAGATCAGACGATGACCGATACTTGGGTCAATATCTGGTTGATACTGCCCAAGACCTCGCCTGGAACTGCGGAGAATCATCTACCACTTCTGATCGATTCAGGCAAGATGATCGACGTGATGATCGCTATAACGATCGAGATCGAATGAACGATCGAGATCGAATGACAGATCGAGATCGAATGAACGATCGTGAAAGAGATCAGCAAAGAGGCGGGAGCTATAGCGGAAGAGATGATCGATACGGTGGTGGTGGATACGGAGACAGAGATGGCGATCGATATGGCAATGGAAGATATTCTGGCACTTATTCGAATGGAAATGGTAAGATATTTTGATTTGAAAGTTTATAATACCATTGTTTAAATCAAATTTATATGCTAATTTATAGAAAAATAATAGAAAAACGCAAAACAAACATATACACACATTTATATATACAAACACAAAAGAAGAAGCTTTTGAGTAAATAATTCTAACGCATTAATAACGAAAAGGAAAATATTTACTAGTGCACTGTGGGCCAGAAGACCATGATCTTTGGCCAAAAGTCAAAAATTATATTTTCAACTAAAATATGTGTAGACAGTTTTAATATAGTTCAAATTAAGTATTCATAATCATTCCAAACATTATAATTTACTCTTTGGACTGACGAGAGTACAATGTAATGAAAAATATGTTAAATTTTTTTTAAGTGTAAATTTTAAATTTTTATTTCAGAAATATATATATAGAAATTTCACCTTACTGTTTCATTTTTATCAGAGTAATTAGTCTGAAATTATAGTACAATTTTTCAATTTGTTGGATTAGTTAATACACTTGACAAACTTATAGTTCATATCTTATCATTTGACATTTTACAATGTTTGAATGACTTTCGAAACTTAGTTACAAAAAGTTCTACGACGTAATTAGCTAAATTTTTTTTGTTGTCTTCTTTGCCGTCATTTTGCCCGTATTGCAAAAGTGGACTAAATATAGCGAAAAACAAAAATTATGTTGTTTTCGCGTTATTTTGTAATATTACTTTTCATTTTTAATATAAAATTACCAAAATTATTATATTTTCATTGCTATATTTAATTATTTAAGCGTACTATATTATTTTTTTTAACTTTTGCTCGCCATATTTCAGCCTCCATTTTTTTGTGTGGATATTTTTAGTGTATTTCAAAATTTCAACTATGTATTCAATTTACCTGCACATAAAAACCCCTAAAAAAAAACCCAAATTTTGAAACAAATTTTGTCGAAATACTAATTTTGGCCACGAAACCTTGGATGCTGGCCTACTGTGTAGTAGAAAGAATGTTTGAATCATAAGAAACATTTAATAGTTTGGTTCAAATTTATAATGACATTTTTTAATCAGTTTTTACTGAAAAATGTAAAAAAAAAATTTAAAAAAAAAAATTACTTCACTCATAACTAGAGGATGACAATTCAATTACAATTTTAGAAAGAAATATTGTCCTTAAAGAATATACTTAAGCCAAAGCTATTTCGTACTACTAGATGATTATCGTAAATTTTTCAAATATGTTTATTTTATTTATATATGGTTATTATATATGTTATTTATCTATGGTTATTATTATATTATTATTATATATGGTTATTATATATGTTATTTATAAATACAAACAGCGGTTCCCAAAATGGGTTCCGAAAGTTAGAACAACGTTACTAGTAACGAAACTCAATAATAAAATTTATATCCAAATCAATTTTCCTTTAAAAATTTCATTTTCACCTGATAACTATTCTCAGCGTTTATTTTCGTCTCTCTTTTCCCTTTTTATTTCAGCTCATTTAGTTACGGGTTATGCATACAACAAAATCAAATTACGAAAGATGCTACCTGAGGCCTGTAAATTCAGTTGCCTGACATAAAATCTAATTTAAAGACCAGTATAGTTAAAACTTCACGAGGAGAAAATTTCATTCTACATTTATTCATTAAATATTAAATAAAAAAAACTTTAAAAAAAATTATTGCAATAAATATTTTCAAAATAAATAATGGTCATTACTTTATCAATATTTTTCACAATTGCTAATGAAATTTCTTCTAAGTCTCGAGATTCCGCTAATAGGAGAACTATCATTTATGCTTCCATAGTCGAAAAGAATTGGGAACGCTGTTATAAAGAATTTAAATTCTTAAAAGAATTTAAAAGGAGCATCCAAGTTTTTCTACAATTTTAAATGTAAAAATAAAATCATTTATAAAATTTGCGTAGCCGTGTAAGCTTAGTCACGACCTTTATAAAACCACCGTAATGCCCAGTACGTTGTTGTTTCTTATTTGCTGGTCTAATTACTGTTATTTCCAAATTTATGATCTTGCGATTTCTATTAACCCTTTAGTGGGCCATTTATTTCTAGCAAAGGAAAATTAAAGAATTTTTGGAATTGAAATTCAAATCAGAATAGTAATTGATATGAGAAAAGAAAAATTCATTTAGCTTGTATAAAATTAATTTAAATTTTAATGCTATTTTTTTGGTGGTAAGCAAATTTACTTAGACCTATTAGGAACTTATTGACTTTTATTTTTCTTTATTTATAAAATAAATTTTATAAATGCTACAAACTTCAGAAGGAATTATGCATATTGTAACTTTTATACGTTTTCTTATGCTAAAAAATGGTTGCCAATTTTATTCAAACACACTTCAAGAAAGCTGAATGAAGTTAATAACAAACGGAAACCTAAATTAAAAGTGGTAGAAAAATTAAACCTGGACTTAAAAAATTGGTGGTAGGTATACTTTCCACGTCCTTAGAAAGTGTTAAATGGGGGGGGGGGGATAATTTTGCCCCCATTTTAGAAATTTCACCACGAAAAATCTGGAACAATGTGGCGTTGCATATGAACTTTTACATTATTTATAGGTAGTGGTATGGAAAATAAGATTAAATGAATTAAAAATAATACATTAAAACATAAGCTTATCTACCACCAGAGTACATTTGGCAGCCCTGCCCTTACTCAGGATGTTCGAAAATAACATTGAAAACTTGTAAAACTAATGAACTTAAAAAAAACTTAACACGCGTACACATCGACTTGATTCTTAGGCCTGCATCTCCAAGGGAAAAAAGCTTAATAATTTATCCACTAGGACATTCTGCCCACAATACTTTTTTAGAAATCAAAGGTTTTACGATTTAAGCATTTTCCCTCTAGTAATAGCTTCTTCTTCTGCATTAAAAAAGAAAGAGCTGACTCTGATTATTTCATTTAAATGCAACTTCTAAAAAGTCATTAATTTTAATCAGTTTGTCGAATGAATATCTCTTTTGAGATATTCATTCGATAAGCTCCTGATTAAAATTAATTGCGTTTCATCAATCATTATCATTAGCTGAATCCAGTATCATCAGTTTTCTCTTATTAATAGTTATTTTATATAATGTTATGATGGTATTATTTTTAAACATGGCTATTTAAGCCGAAGCGTCGTATGCTTAATTTTTGGAAAACAATATGTTTCTTTTTTTGGTTTCTAAGGTAACATATTTTTACTGTGTATGATTGTGTTTGGGGGTTATATAAGGTGAAAGTTCTTGTGTGTTGGGGTTCCTTCAAAGGTGATGGCTATGTTCGGCTTACATGTGTGTTTTAAACTATAAGGTTATTCAGGGAGCTCAGACATCACCTGCTGCAGAAATGAAAGATGTGACAGAAGCCGCCTTCAGCAGTGCAGAGACTCGCTGGCCAGAGCTGTTGACAACAGAGCAGCCGGATATCAGGACTCTCAGAAATGCAGGTAAATTACCCGTTTGGCTGTTGTTTAGCTGAATACGAATGTTGTAAATATATGTTTAAAAAAAAAACAATTATGTGATCGAAGATTCAAATTTGAAAATTTAAAATAACTACTGTATCTAAAGTGACTAGATTAATAAACCATGATTTGAGGACTCGAAAAATTTATGATTTGAGGACACTCATATATTTATGGAAAATATTAATTTATGTGTGCAAGAAAGATTTTTTTTTAAAATTGATAACATTTTCATGAAACTTCATTTTATTACTGAGCAGTTTTGAAATATCATATGATAATCCGAATTTAAACTCATTTAGAATGAACAAGCACATATGATTGTTTAAATTTGTTTATTTTTTGATGAAATTATTTGAAGACGAGTATGGTGTTTTCATCTGTTAAATTTAACATGGTACTCTCTTGTTTGCATTCTCTATAAGAGAAAAGAAAAAACTATTTTTTTTTAAAAAAAATATGCGCATTTCCAAACATCATCATTATTATTATTTTTGCTGATATTTTCTAACTATATATAAAAATCTTATGATGGTGCCACAGTTTTCCATTTGTGTCGATATATTTCTATTGGTTGGAATATTAGATTGGTTGGAAAACCACATGAGAGAATCCAGTTTTACCACATTAATTTTCATATTGGTTTGACTTTCATTAGCATAAAATTAATACAAGTCATAAAGGTATTGTTTTCTTATAAATATTTTTGTATCCCTAATTTAATGGTAATTAACTGTAACTGTTAATATTATGTTTTTGATTTTGGGGTTGGTTAATTACGGGGTTGGTTAGCGTCAGCGATCAGGGGACTTAGACCCCTAGTTCTCTATAAGAGAAAACTATTTCGTTTAAAACAATATGCGCAATTCTTATTTTTTTTTTGGTTGATATTTTATTTTATACACTGGTTATCATAAATTAAGGAAAANCAAATTTTGCACGGTTTGGCTTACTTTTGAAAGAGTTATCGCTATTTTTGTGATTTTTCCTTAATTTATGATAACCAGTGTATTAAAAAAGATCTTTTCAGAAAAATTCTAGGACATTTAAGGACACATGTTAAAATTTGTTGACAGTTTTTTAAGGACAATCAAAGAAATTTGATGACGTCTGATAACCAGAAATACACCGAAGAGCCATTACATTATGATCACCCTGCTAATAACATATAGGACCACCTTTAGCCCTCAAAACTGCTAGCACCCACCGTGTCATTGATTCCTAAAGGTGCTGATAGGTAGTCTGAGGTATCTGGTACCAAGCGCTCACCAACTGGTCCTGCAATTCCCTCACATTGCGAGGGGGTAGCGTGTCAGCACGAATTTGGTTTTCTAAGTAGGACCACAAATGCTCTATTGGATTAAGGTCAGGTGAATTTGGGGGCCAAGACATGACTTGAAAGTTACTGGAATGTTCCTCGACGATTCGACCCTTATGACATGGTGCATTATCCTGTTGGTAAACTCCATTCCCCGCAGGAAAAACTGTTGCCATGAATGGGTGAACCTAGTCTGCAACTATGTTCAAGTAGCTTACAGACGTCAGGGATTGTTCTATGAGGATTATGGGTCCTAATGTGCCCCATGAAAAAATTGTTCCTGGGCGAGAAACCATGAAAACCTGGGCGAACCCATTGTTATAGATGAGGGTGGTCATAATGTAATGGCTCTTCGGTGCATATCTTGATGGATATGTAGATATTTCCCCCTCTTTAGGCTAAAAACTTTTAATAAAATAATTGTAGTGCCATGTTTTATTATTTTTTTGTGGGAAAAAAACTGTCCTCAGATGCAGACAATGATCATTTACAAGTTAGTGTAATTTTTTAAAAATATTACAGCAAAATTGAGAGGCAATAAACAGTCGGCTGTTTTTTAATAACGCCCAGTTTGAATTAGAACGTGCCATTTGATTCATCGAGTAGTTTGTTGTTATTGTAGTCGTAGGCCATTGAAGTAAGGGGTGCGATTGTTTTTGTTTTCTAGTAGCGCTATCCGCCAGGAATTCAACTTTGGTCGCGCCCATACGCCTTACCCGTTTCATAGGGAGGACCCATTCCATACATTCATCCACAGATCGTAATTTTGACTTGAATTAGAGAACGATCAATTTGCAATCCAGTACTCCCAGAGGTTTAATTTGTTATGGGGACGTGGAGAGCATTGTGACCTGGCAGATTTAACGCGCACCAGTCACCATTTACTACATGGGAATTCTTCGGCCGGCTGGATTCGTACTCCCGTTTTCGCGAACGAGAGTCCAGTGCCCCGCCAATCAGGCTATTCCAGCCACATCGAGTTGCTTGAATTTGTTTTATGGTCGTATAGGAGAAGGAGGTATTTTATGGGGATCTTTCAAAAAGAATATTTTCAAAATATTTAATTTTATTTGTTGCATTTAATATAATGTTTTATTTTATAGACGACTTCGGGATGATTTTAATTGTCTGTTATGGCAGACATCCTCCTGCGTCTCAAGAGAAGAGCGGGACAGAGACAACGAGATTTTCCGAAAATCCAGAGATTTCATTTCAAGAAACTGTGACAATTATGGAAGTAAGGGGATTTTAAACTTAATCATTAAGTTGATTTAAGTTAATTTTAATTAAGTTAATTTTGAGTTGATGATAGTTCCTCATATTTAGAAATATAATTCTGCTTCACTGTAAGCCATAAAGAGGTTATAGCACCTTAAGTTTTTTTTTTAATTTTTTTTTTTAAAAAAAGACAGTAGAAACAAAATAATTTTTTAAAGTTTATCATCTACGTTCAGATGAAGCGTTCTAGTGGTACAGTCGGTAAAGACATCGTTCGATCCGTTTATGGAGAGTTCGTTTCGTGACAGACTATAAAACAACCGGCATCTACAGGGGCAGCGAGGACCGGAGGGGAGGGGGCTGGAGCCCCCTCATATTTTATAAATGAAGAGACACAACCCTTTCTAATATTACTATTTCAAGCGAGCCTAAACATATCATTGGTGGCTACTAAATCATCAGGAATATACGTCCCTATTACTGACCAATTGGAAAGTTCTTGGTTTCAAATGAAACTTAGATCAGAATTTTTTAAAAAAAGCAATGAAACAGAATAAAAAGAAAACCGTTAAATGAGAAAAAAATTATTTGCAATTGAAAAAATGTTTCTGTTTATTTTTTTTTTAAACAATTCGAATCAGGAAGTTAAAATAATTCGGAACCGGTTAATACTGATATATATATATATANTATATATAATAAAAGTCCGAAGAGGAGGTACCAGCTCAGGCGTCGTCCATGTTATCTGCATGGTTTAAATTACTTGGCATTTCTACCACGGATGTTAAAAAATTGATCGCTGAGAAACGGAGCTAGATACTTGCCATGGTAGGGTAATGCGTGTACATTTACTCGGATATCAGCAGTTTATTTTTATAAAAAAAAATAATATTATTCAATTCTTACAAATTTTATAAAAAGAAGAAAAAAATTAAAATTTCACTATTTTGTAAAAAAATTTTTTTAATTTTTGCATATTTTTTGGAAATTTTTTTTTTTTTTTGCTTAATGATTACAATTGTATTTCAAATCTGTGAATTTATTCTATTACATAATCAATAAAAACATTTTCTATGGTTGAGAATGAAGTTTTTTAAAAAAAAAAATTAAGAAGTTATCTGTCGCACAGGTATAACATGCTCTCAAAATCGGAATAATTTATAAAAATATCCTTATTTAGAGCTTAGCATTATAAGCTATGTCACTCTAATTAATGTAAAACTCTTTAAAGCTTTATCTTTTATAAAAAGATCCTTAGGATTTAAATAATATGTAATTATCGAGCCGTGAAGGCTCAGATAGAGCGTTTACATTCCAATGAACCGGGTTCGAATCCCAACGATGGCTGGTCGATATGAATTCCGCATCCAGCTTGTACCAACCACAGTGCTGATGTAAAAACATCCTCAGTAGTAGACGGATCATGGGTAAAAGTCCCCTTGCCACCAGGTTACCCGTAGGAGATTTTCCTCTAAGTGTAACGCAAATGCTGATTAATACCATGACAAAGTTCTTAACGAAGGCAAATTTCTCCCAATACTTGAGCCATGAGTTTCCTAGTCATCTGGATTGCGTTCAAAATTACAAGGCTAAGGATTTGAACATAAGTAGTCGTAAACCCAAAACACTGGGTTGACAGTTCAACGACGGTTATAAAATAAAATAAAATATGTAATCATCGAAGAGAAAGGGCTCTTTAAAACTATTATTTTTGCTCTAAAGACCAATGCTTTTCTGTCTAAAATAGGTTATAACTTTTTAAATTTCTAGCTGTGAATTCTTTTAGAGCACTATTTTTAAGACTAATTTTCAAACAAGCTGAAGTAGTATGCAATTTTTGGTAACTCAGTAAAAATGTTTCTATCAGCTTTCATATGCAGTGAATGACAGTTAAAACATATTTTATATACGTATAAATATAAAATAAAAAACCACAACCTTTCGTATGGTAATACGTTTCGTAATTTAAAAGTATATAACTCAAATGTAAATCAGTAATGTCGTTAAACTAATGAGATAAAGTTTTAGTCTTAGTTTTTATTTATTTATTAATTTTTTAAATTAAAGGGTATACTGAAAACAGTTGCTACAAGAGCACTGATATGAAAAGATGTGAGGACCTTCTCACCAACACAAGAGGTGGATCTAACTACGATTCCTGCAGGTATATTGTTTTTATCATTCTACTTACTCTTTCCATAGCCTTATTTCATGGAAAAAAAAAGAAATTTGTTTAAACAAAACATTTTATTTTATAACATAAGATTTTAAAACACATTGTAAAATGTTTAATTACGAAATATTTAATTTTATTTTCACTCTAATATGCCTCCCAGTAACCAGAAAGTATCACCTTAAAGTTAAAACTTCAAGATGGATGGAAAAAGTGGAGTAATTTTAATTTTCTTTTCACTCTAATATGCCTCCCTGTTACCAGAAAGTATCACCTTAATGTTAAAACTTCCAGATGGATGGAAAAAGTGGCGTAATTTTAATTTTATTTTCACTCTAATATGCCTCCCAGTTACCAGAAAGTATCACCTTAAAGTTAAAACTTCAAGATGGATGGAAAAAGTGGAGTAATTTTAATTTTCTTTTCACTCTAATATGCCTCCCTGTTACCAGAAAGTATCACCTTAAAGTTAAAACTTCAAGATGGATGGAAAAAGTGGCGTAATTTTATTTTCACTCTAATATGCCTCCCAGTTACCAGAAAGTATCACCTTAAAGTTAAAACTTCAAGATTGATGGAAAAAGTGGCGTAAATGGCCGCAGGCACCCAAATAAATTCTGATGACGATGATAATTTTTTACATTTTAATGTTTAACGTCTCAAAATTAATCAATAAGTTGATGAATTTCATATTTTTAATTGCAGATCGTACATCAGCTTTAAGGAATGTATGATAACGGAATTGGACAGACGCTGCACCAGAGAAGATGAATTATTTCAAGGTGCGTACCTGGCAGACAAAGCTCAAGAAATGTCTTGGCAATGTGGAGCTGAGGGTGGAAGAAATTCGTGGGGAACTTTTGACAGACGCAATGAATACGACAGATATGACAATAATAATCCCTATGATCGCCAGCCTTATGATAGCAGTCCAGTGCATCTGGAAGACGAAGGCAAGTATATTTAATAAAAATTGCAAATGAAAGTTAATTCCTTAAGCTTCATTGAAGGTTGGTTGAAACTTGGTTGATTTAATAAGACAGTATTAGCTAAAAAGATTCATCGATTCTCAAAGGACTATTTGTTTAAAAATATACAAAGTACAAAGACGTGTGATACATGAAAAGATACATACACGCACCGAGTTTCTGGTATAGTGCGGCTGTCAGGAGAATTCCTCCAGACCCAGACCGTTAGTTTGGAGGAGTTCTCAAATCCGCAAAATACACACATTGACAAAAAAATTAGCGCACCAAGAAGTAGTCGTTAAAATGAAACGAAATTTTACATATGTAATGACTACTTTGATATAAGTAAATGATTAGAAAATCAAAGATTATCGTTTTTCTTTGATTTTCTAATCATTTACTTACATCAAAGTAGTCATTACGTATGTAAAATTTCGTTTCAGTTTGACGACTTCTTCTTGGTGCGCTAATTTTTTTTGTCAATGTGTGTATATACTACAAATGTTAATTGTGTGCCCCTTTCGTCCCGCGACACACTTCCATACGATAAGCCATTACCGTCCATGAGTTTAGTAGCATGTTTGCTTCTATAAATATCTACCACAGTAACAGTAATGTGAGTCCTGCAGTGTTGTTGGCCCTGGGGGTATATAAATTTTGTCTTCAATATTCGAATTAAAAGGGTACCTAAACTTCGTCACAAGTTAATGCACACCTAATCCTAACAACACTGCTGGGACACATTATTACTATTACAGCAGAAAATATTTATAGAAATAAACATGCAAATGAACGTATGAACGGCACTGGTTTACCTACTGAGGGTGCACGCGACGGTATATTACATTTAATAAAACAAACACTGGTAACTCAATTATTTTATTTCCATACTTTATGGTAAAAATAAAAAAATATTCATATCTATTTTAATGTAATAAATATTTTACTCTGAAATTACCTTTCCGTAAAATAAAAGTAGTAAGAATCATAACAAACAAAACGTTTACTTAGTTCAGTTTCATATGTTCCATTATTTCAAATTGGTTCATATTCTTAATCCCCAGGCTTTGATTGATCGAATTAGTAAATTTCTGTTGTGGAAAAAAATATTCTCAACTTAATTTTACATTCTTTAAATAATATAATAAATCAAATGCCACTATTCTCCATACAATAAATCCCTCACTAATGGACCATTTTTTTCATACTACCTAGTATGTGCCAGCTTCTAAATTAAAATCTTAAATATTTTTTATTTTAATGAGTGCAATTCTATTTCATTCATTTTAAGTCGTAAAAAAACATCATATTTTCAGAATATAAAAAAGTTTGGATCATTTTAAAATATCTAAAAAATTTTTTTCCTCCTAGATGCCATGTGTTTGGCAAGAGCTCAAGCTAGTGTAGATCAGTGCAAGAAGAATTTTGATAGTAGAAGGCGAGAAAAGGATTACGAAACCGATTATGACACCAAAAACAGGATAAGTTGTTGGTAAGTTACATTTCATTAGACTTTGTAGAAATGAATTAGGGCAGTAACATACGAGGGTCACTTTTTAAGTAAAAACCGTTTTGTTATGTTGCAAGAGAAACTTTATATCTGAACGTAAATTGTATCACAAACTAAAATATGAACATTTATTCACTTTTCATAATAGTCACCATTAACATTGAAACATTTATAAAGTCGTGACACCAGTTTTTAAATCCCTTCATCAAAGAGCTCTGCCACCTGACCGTGCAGTTAGTAACAGTTTCTTTCAACATTTTCCACCAAAAAATTTCTTAAGTTTTGGAAACAGGTGAAAAACTGATGGTGCTAAGTCAGGGCTGTATGGTAGATGATCCACTACTTCTCGTTCCTGACACTAGGTCTACCAGTTCGTTCTTCGTCGTGAAGATTTGTTCTTCCTTCATTAAAAAGCCTTCACCATTTACTCTCATTCATTACACTTTCACTATAATCTTTAGCAAGCTATCGCTGAATCTCAGCTTTCAGAACTTTTTTTTTTACATTTAAAAATTAAACTCACTTCACAATCGGTAGGATTAATGATTGACATGGTGACAACCAATACCGGCAAAGACGTGAAACGAAATGGTGGTGTAGTGAGAGATTTGACAAGAGTTGCCGCCCTTGAACTGACGTCTTTTGACAGGATGCGCAATCGGTTCCTACTTTAAAAATGACCCACATACAATGAAATCAATCAGCATGTTCTAAAATTTTTATTCTTAACCTCTGGTGCTTGGAATATTTTTCTTCAGTATGATTATTTCCATCGTAAATATAAAATCTAATAATTTAGATTGTCTTGTGATCAAATAAATTTATGTTTTGAAGAAAATTTACCAATTTAAGTCTTAAGTGATTGAACGGAGCAAATGAATAACGCCTAAGGAAGTTATGGAATCTGGTCAAATGTTTTGAGAGGGACTCCTTGTGTTAGCGACTGCTTTTTCGAGTTGTCTTTAGCACGAATATTGGTGCCTAAAGCCGACAGGTGCCGAATTTTAATGTCATGATGCAGTGTTGAAAAAGATCATTACTTAACAATATATCACATAATTGTTTTGGTTTAACTAATTTTTATTATTCTTTCATTAGCCAATACTTTCGCTACCCAGGTTAAATTTAACAACGTGCAGAATATTATCGCACACAATAATTATCGTTATGTATAATAACATCGTATTCGATAATTATAGTCATTAATAATTATAACAATATTTTCACGGATGATAAGTTTCCTTATCATTAATAGCGAAATTGTCGGTGTCCGGTGACCTGCATTGTTTTGCTTCATGGTTCCTATAACCTATATAAGTCTTAAGGATAGAATGAAAATTTCAATAAATTTTTGCGCCTCTGCATCAGAGGAAAAAGCGGCCCTTTGAAAGTAATTTTATTTATTAGTAAAAGTCTACTCTTCTTATTATTTGCTATATTTCGTTTATTTATTTATTTTTAATAAAGTTATACATTAAAAAACCCACATGTTAGGGTTTTTGCCGCACTATGAATGGCTTTTATAATTTTAATTACATTGTACACAAATTGTTGACCGGACTGTATAGAGGTCAGGGAACTGGCCTTGCATCAGAAAGGTTCTGGGTTTGAATCCCGGGCAAGGCATTGATGTTCTCTGTACTATCTGTCCTTACTGTGGGAGCAACGTTGGCCCACCTAATATGGTGCTCCTGAAAGAGTGGCCAACAAATCTGCCCTGTAAATGCTTTAATCGATGCAATGTTAACACAGGTGGGCATTGGAACTCAATAATTTCTCCCAAAATAAGCATCAGGTTATTACGACTGATTTACCGGATGTCTTAAAAAAGTTAAACAATATTTAAATCTATTGAAATCCTTAAAACTGTCCACAAAAAAAAACATCCATAATAAAAAATTTGTTCTGATGTTGTCTGACAGATGGTGCTAATGAAAATACCGTATCATGCCGTACCTTATACAATTGTTTGATTATAATAACAAAACATTATTATTTTTTATACTTAAACGAGAAAGTATGGAATGTTAGGAAATTCTTGACACTCACCAGATGGGAAAGCTGAAAACAAGCGTATTAATTCGAAACACAGAAAAAGCTTGACGTAACAAGTATGGCACATTACAGAATGTTTGCTATTATAACAATTTTCTAAATTACACCATCAAAATCTTAAAAAAGATACGAAATGTATTAAGACTTAAAAATTATTAACCTTCTGCCATGAAGATACATTTTCTTCTGCTCATCGATTATGTAACTTAATGTGGAAACAAGCAAAATGGGTGATGGGAATTAATTTATATCTGCTGTCTATATAGAAAATTAATATCATTTCCTTCTTGACCACTCATTACCACGTTCAAATAATATTCTTCTTTATCCAAAAAAATAACTATAATAATCTTTCCCTGTTTTTAGAACACTTGAAAAGAATGCGTCTTTTGTTGACTCAATGTCTACCATGTTTATTTGGTTTTGAGTTGAAATCAAAATCAGTCAACGTTATGAATGATGTCAAAACTGTAATTTGCACTTCAGCCTTTTTTACTCCTACCTTAATATGAAATAATTTGCTTATAATAACATACTCGCTATAACGTCTACTATTACGAATTATCGTCATAACAAACTTTTACTATAATCTCATTAAAAAAAAAGGGGGTACATTTTGTAAATAAGTTTATAAATTTCTTCTTCTAGTTCTGTCCGAGAGTACCGCAACTGCTTGTTTGATGCAACTAGACGATACTGCCAGACAGAACGCAGCCGTGTTGTAGATTCCCAACTGCAAGGCTACAGACACCTCCTCACCGCAGATACTTGCCTCAGAGTCTATGACTCTGAATGCAACTCTAGCAGTCACAGCAGCATTTCTTTTGTGCTCTTGGCAACCTGCATCGCCGTCCTTTCAGCTCTGTTTTCATTGCATCGTTAACAACTTCTTGTCCAGAGGCAACACTCGAAAAAGTACAAGACATTTTCATGGGTGTGTTGCACCAAAGCGCCATCTGAGATGCCACTTAATTCCTTGCATTGGAACATTGTTCATAGGTTTTTATTGGAATAATTAATTATTCCAAAAGAAGTGTTAATATATTTTGCAATGCTCAATGTGACGTAACTCATTGTTTCATTATAAAATTTGTATTGTTGATGAGTTTTATGGTGGTTTGAAATACTCCTTTTCATTTGGATTTTAAGGTTCTTAACTTAAATATGATGCAAGGATATCACTTGGACAACCAGGTTTTACTTTTTTTTTTAAATCTTGTTTATAATCAAACAAGCAATTAAAAACTTTTTTAAACAGATTTTTTTTCTTTATGATCTTCATAATTTTTTTAAAATTTTTTATTTTTCATAATGAAGGTCAAATTTTTATTATAAATTCAAAATAAATTTGACATAAAATGAAAAATAATATGATAATGCCCATCTTCGGCCTTTAATCAAGTCAATATTATGTTTTTTATTTATTTAACTTTTACTAACGTTCTTCTTAGTGCTAAAGAGATTGAAATTTAATTATATAAGGTTTCAAATATAGTCATTTAAATTATTTATAAAGACAGTTTTTTTTAAATAACTTATTTAAAATATCAAAATTTCATATTTTGAATCAATTAAAATAATAACAAATGTTTTCTGAAAAATAAAAATTTATGATCAGATCATAATCTAAAACGTTTCAACTTTGTCTTTCGGAATAAACAATAAGAATTTTTATTGAAAAATTTCGTAAGAAATTTATATTTTAATTTTGAAAAATTATACTTTGATAATCTCAATTATTTATAAAATAAAACTCATGATTTCAGATAAAAATGACCCAAGCAGAAATTACTCAGCAGATTGATTAAAATGCATAACTTCAAAATATTAGCAAAACATACATAAAATAAAGCGTAAATTCTTTATTAAAATTTAAAAAACTTAATATTGTAAATAAAATAAAGATAAAAACTTTTATTTACAAAATGTTATATAGTTTTAGGCAAAAAAAGTAAATCCTAGAGAACACACCATTTTCAAGGATAGTTTCAGTTAGCATTAAAAATGATAGAAAAGCGGTAATTTTACCACCTCACATTTATTTTAATTTATACATAATGTTTAAATGGCGCAAAATAAAAAAACATTACTTATACACAAACACATATATATATGCACCAACACTTGATACACGTTAAAATAGTTTGTTAAAAAGTAATGGAATATAAAAAGAGTGCTTGGCAAAAAAAAAATTATATCATGGGTTTTTCACAAGAATTAACTGGCAAATTTAAATTTATACAATTATTTTTAAATGGCACAATATACAAAACATTACATATACACACATATATACACATCACAACTTAAGATAGTTAGAATTATGAAACATAATAATGCTACTGGATAAGATAATTATGACCATAATATCATGACATTCATCATGGGTTTTTCACAACGAACTGGCAAATTAATCAAAAACAAAAAAAGATCATGACATATAATTGTACATAGGAATATTCTTATATCTATTTCAGGAGCTACGGTATTTCGCATTTTAATGGAAGGGGTGAAGGCATTTATAATAAAATTTGCATTCATATATAAATATCATGAAGCATTCATATCTAAAATCACTTATAATAATTTCATTTGAAATACAGCAATTGATACTGACAACATGAACAACTTAATACATCTTTATATTTTCAGTCTGATTAGTTATATTTATAAACAGATGCAAGTTAAAAAAGTAATTATTTATCACTTACACTTAACTTGTTTCTCAACTTTTTCAATTTTGACTTTAAAACTTAGCTCCAAAGCACATCGATTAATAAAATTCATTAAAAAAAATACATATTTCGTAAAAAAATAAATGAAAAATATGTTTATCAAATATTTAAAAAACATGTACACATACTGGTTTAAAGTTTTTTATAACTACACCATGTTAAAGTTTTTTTGTTTTTATGTTCGCATTTAAGTTTTTATGTTCGATGTTAAATTTAATAATACACATGTACAAATACTTTTTGCTTCTAAGTCTTAAATATCACAAAAAAGCTTGTGTTCTTGAATGTTAGCCTCATGAAAGTTTTTCAACATAACAGATTTAATCTGAATATCTAACTACTTTAGTATAACAATAATAAAAAGATTTGTATGTTGCAAAGTACATAAAAAGTTTACATACTAAATATTAATTTCACAATTTTAAATTATTAAATTGATAACAAAAATTTAACTTTGAACTAAAAAAAACTCACCCAGTTTTTCATTGAATTTCTGTTTTAAAATGCAAGCTATAAATGTTACATTAATGAACATGTCATCATCACCTTTTTTTTTCTTTTCTTTTTTCATATTATCTATTACACATTATAAAGATATGTATGTACGAATTTTAAGGAATAATCATCATAAATGATTTTAGTCAAATCTCATTTTATATGTTTATATATCAATATTTGATTGTTTGGATTTATTTGCTTGATTTAAATTTTGTTTGGATATTGTTGTATAGAAAAGAATTTTCAATAAATTTTGTTATTGATTTATCTAATCAATTGTTGTCCTTTAATTGTTGCATACAATAAAAAACAAGCTTAAAATTATAGTAGAAAACATTGGTAAACAAAAAAAAAAAGAAAAAAAAAATTTTAAATTAAATTACATAAGATTTTTATAAATATAATATTATTTTTGTTCAACATAAATCATTGATGTATATTGACACATTTATATGTACATAGATATTAAAAAAAAATAGAAAAAAATTTTAGACTCTAGATTAATTTTATTATATATTAATTAAAATGAAAAATATTCTCAAAATATGAAACCACAGGAAACCAATTTTTCAATAAAGCATAAGAATATAATTTCATTCACTTCAATTTAATTAAATTAATAGTTTTCTTAATTTTATAGTCTTTACAGATGATTTTCAAAATAAATAAACATAAAAAGTTCAAAATCTATAGAATCATCACTTACACATTGTTAATTTAATCTTTTTTAAAGTTTTGAGTTCTAAAATGAACTTTGCAAAAAATCTTTGCTTTGCTAAATAATGCATAAAAACTGTTCATATTCTGTTCAAAATATAATGATTGGTTGATCATATAAATATGCCTAACTTAATTAAATTCAGTTACAGAACTAATGATTAGGAGATTTTCAAACAAATAAATAAAAGAGTTCAAAATTTTATTCAAATTGAATTCATACTTAATTTGAAATTAAGAACATACCTTAACTCACACTATTATTTTTGAATGATGACTAATATAAATGAAGTTTTAGAGCAGGGATGGCAAACCTTTATGCACCAACGTGCCATTTTTTCAAAAAATTGAGACGCGGAGTTCATAGACGTGCCGTCAAATAATTTTGACTTCGTGATTATTGGGAAAATAATAATACTAAATACTATCAACTCAAAACTCTTTATTTACTATGAAAAAAAACATTTTGCAATCTCTCAGTTATACACGTAATTCAACTTAAAGTAACATCAGAGTGACTTCTGTTGTTGCAGATTAGATGACAAATAACTTATATTAGGTTGTAAGATGTTAGTTTTAGCAGGACTTTGAATTTTTTTTTGCTAGTTAATTATTGTTGGCTTGTTTTTTATGGTTATTAATTGTTTTTTGGAATTAATTGTAAATTTTTTTGTTTATTTTTTGTGAATTTCAATTTAATTGTTAATATGATTTATAATGAACTTTGTGATCGGTGGTGTGCCCAGAATATTGTGTCACGTGCCATCGGTTAGCCATCCCTGTTTTAGAGTATATTATTAAAAAGCAGTAGAGGTGATTGAATTTTGAAGGGAAAAAAAAGTTAAGGGAGAAACCTGATTTCTTTGTAAAATGTATAAAGCCACTTTAATCAGCATTAACATGCAAGAGGGTTTGTTTCTATTGTATAAAGTGCATAATAGGAAATGATATCTCAAAATTCATGCAAGATTTAAATCTTTGGTTATTTGAGTAATAAAATGTAACAAAGCAAAAATAATATAAAAGACAAACACAGCTGAGAAAAGTTAAAAATTAGAACTATACAAAAGTACAGCACATTTTCATTGTTCGACAATGTAGAGATATTCTTTGGACATGTAATTGTTTATTTTTTTTATCAGAACTGGCTGCCCAGATTATGCCATTAAACAGCATAGAACAATAATAACAAATTTTAAAATCTACGTCTTTAACCTACCTATTTATCCACAGCTACTCATCTCTTGCGCTGAAAGTGTCATCAAAATAGTTTAATCACATTTATGTGAAACGATCATTACAAACTTTGGCAAAAGCATTTGTATGTGTCAGCAAAGTCCTGGAGGGTTTTTAATTTTACCCAATTCTGCAAATAATCCTATAATGTGAACTTCACATACAAACTAATAAAAAACTAAAAATTTAAAATTAAATACTTGTGTTTTTAATCACAATTTCTCATTGCATGATTTTAGGGACACACTAACTCAAAAAATTACATGATAATATTGACAAGTTACATAATAGCACAATATATTTATGAAAGAAGTACAAAATTTGTCTCAGAGAAGTTGAGAGATTGGTGCAGATTAGGAGGCAACGTTCATGGCCCCTCTACAAGCTTCTCCATAAGGACAGATAGTTAAAGTTCATTACAACTGATGAAGCTTGCATCTATCTATCTGATACCAATGCTAAATCTTAAGTTCAATATCTTAGCCATGGGCAGAACAGGCGAGACTTGACACCCTCAACCACGGTGCCTCATCCCAAAGGCGTAATGATTTGGATGGGCATATCCGCCCATGGGGTGACCAAACCTCGGTTTGTGAAACCTGGGGCCAAAATAAATTCTGAGTATTACATACAGAAGATATTAAAGCCCTTTCTTAAGGATGATTGCTGCAGATTGTACCCTAATGTTGATGCTGAGTTCTATTTAACATGAAAGGAGAAAAAAAAGAGGCACCTAATCCAAGTCAAACTCAATTCAGTCAATAACTTCAAATTGAATTTGCTATAAACAATTAAAAAATTTAATATACAATCACAGCAACAGTGTAAAATAATGTTAACAATTATAAATAGCCACCGAGAATTGACGAAAACAACACAGTAAAAAATTCAGAAACAGTAATATTTCTTATAGTGCAGAAATTCTGTTTCATCATACAAAAGACTTTGGAAACTTTAATGACATGCCATACAAAAGTTCATAAAAATATTTGTAACAAAAATATTTGGATAATCATGACTAGGGAATTATGGATCTTGTATGGTGAGGACTAGTTTTCCTCTTTTACCTGAAGAGCTCATTACATCTTCATGAGCACGTTGAACGTTATCAATCGAATAACGTCTATCAATAACAGGCTTCACCCAACCCTCTTTAACCCCGTCAAGAACGGCTTGAGATGTTTCATTCCATTCTTCCTAAAATTTATAGAAATTTTACCGTTAAAAAATTTGTGTTTTATATTGTATGTAATGCATTTTTTTAAAAAAAAAAATATTTGAAACAAATTTACATTGAAACATATATTATTTTTGCACAGGTGCTGAAAAGCTTCATTTATATTTATAATTTTAATTCTGTTCCACCATTATTTAATTTGCTTATAAAATTAAAGCAACATGATAAAATGCATATCAGATATAAGATTACTGAAAATTTCTTCAAATTTAGAAATTGAATTTAAATTATTATCTTGATTTCCAAAATTTAGGCATGGGATAAATACAAGAAAGAAGAAATTAGTGGTATTGCAATTTTATATCACCATTATTTAATTTGCCTATAAAATAAAAGTAACACAATGAATGAAATGCATATTTGATATAAGATTACTGAAAATTTCTTCAAATTTAGAAATTGAATTTAAATTATTTTCTTGATTTCCAAAATTTAGGCATGGGCTAAATACAAGAAAGAAGAAATTAGTGGCATTGCAATTTTATTTCCACCATTATTTAATTTGCCTATAAAATTAAAGTAACACAATGAATGAAATGCATATCAGATATAAGATTACTGAAAATTTCTTCAAATTTAGAAATTGAATTTAAATTATTTTCTTGATTTCCAAAATTTAGGCATGGACTAAATACAAGATAGAAGAAATTAGTGGTATTGCAATTTTATTTCCACCATTATTTAATTTGCTTATAAAATTAAAGTAACACAATAAAATGCATATCAGATATAAGATTACTGAAAATTTCTTCAAATTTAGAAATTAAATTCAGTTATTTTCTTGATTTCCAAAATTTAGGCATGGGCTAAATACAAGAAAGAAGAAATTAATGGCATGCAATTTTATCGGTCTGAGATTGAAATGACAACTAACAAAGGTTCTAGAGGATACTTAAATAAACTTGCCTTTATTATTTGTTTGCTTTTTTTGTTTAATAAGCTCAATTACATGTATAGTTGAGCAATTAAAAAATTTCTAAAAATTATTTAATGAGTTCTATGCTCTGCAAATTGTGGTTGTCTTGTTTTAACTAATAAAAATTAGGTTTGAAGTCAAGTAATAAAATAAGTTTTGTTAGAAAAAAAATTACAAAAACTATTGCTTAAGTGTCAAAAAATAATAATAATGACATGCATATAGTACAATTAAAATAAATATTAATTTCCAAAAATATACACCAAATGTTTATCTTTGTAGAATTTTGCTAAAAATTTAAATAAATAAAATTAAAGGATATACTTAAACAAGGTTGTCTATTACCAAGATCAAACTCAGGTGTGTAAAACACATGAGTTTCAACACATTCAATATTCTTTAAAACAATTTATATTAAAAAAATAAATAAACAATAGATTTTCACAAGCAATTATTGTCAGTTAGTTCAGTTTATACATTGAATAGAAACTTATAACAAATTTTCAATCTTTGAACAAAAAGCCAGAACACTTAAAACAAAAAACTAGAACAATTTACATCTGGAACAATGCAATTTTAGATTATATCAAAATATACCTCAGAGCTGCTGAACAGTGCAACGCCAACTATTTCTGTTTCTGGTCCCATTAGTTTTCTTGGATCAATTTTTATGGCACCGCGATTACCAACAATCTAAAAATAAAAGTTTTAAAAATCATCAGAAAATATAAATAAATAGGTAACAAACTAGAATAAATAGGTAACTAAATAAAAAAATATTTCTTATTTTAAAATTCTTCAAAGGGCATTAAGATTCCTTATCACTAAGATTAGTTTTTAAAAATGTTCCTTATTCTTTATAACTATAAATAAATATATTCTTCATAGCATTTAATTTTTATATATTTTTTCTTATAAATTAGAGAAATATAATAATATATGCAAAGGGATAAAGTATTTTTTATTGAGTTCTTCAAATATGTGTTTTAAAACTAACTATATTTAATTCATAGGTTTCAGCAGAATTGATATTTTCTTCTAAAAACAAAAGTTACAACCAACTATTTCAAACTAATTATTATAAGTTTTATGGCCATTTATATTGTAACTTAAACCAAATTGATTTTATAAAATAACATCAGAATAATTCAACACACAAATAAATTGATGATTCTTAGTTTATTTAATGTCAATCTTAGCTCTTGGTACCATAATAAAAACTGGTCAACTTTCAGTTGGTATTGTTGGGAAATTGTCTTTAAAAATAAAACATTTGAATTTAAAATTTTGTGATCTGAATTTGCACTCTAAAATTTTAATATAACAAAGAAAACTTAGTAATAGTTTTTTAGTAACTGGTAAATCACCTCTTTTTAAATACATTTTTTTTCTCAAATACTGAAAAACTTTTAAATCAGTAATTTATAGATAAAAAAATAAGTATCTCCAATTAAGTTGGAAAACATATATTTCTCACGCAAATATTAAAAATAACAAAGCATACATTATTTAAAATTCAGACTATAGTTAATTTCAATATTTATTATTTTTATACTTTCTCATTAATTGCAATTAAATATTAATTTTAGTTACATATCATGATTACAATTATTATAAAATGCATGAATTGTAACAGATAAATAATCTTAATGCCATAACTAACATTTTGAAATCACATTTTTATTTGAAAAATATTGTGATAAAATTTAAATAAAGAAGAAAATGAGTACATTGACTACAGTCAACTAACTAATGCCGACAACAACTTTCATCAACATCATAGTTGGCCAGACAGCCCAATATGAGCCAATGCCTTCCTCTGAAGATTTCTCCATAACGACTTCTGATTTATCTTTGATCTCCAATTCTTTTCATTAATTGCAAGAAAATCAGACTCCCCAATGTCAGTCTATCTCAACCGCCGCCTTCCCCGCTTTCTCGTTTTAGTGGGTCTAAAAAGCAGTATCTTTTTTATTGTATTGTCATTACTCATTTGAATAATGTGAACCATCCAATTCATTCTATTTATTTTTATGTATTTAATAATATCAGGTTGTTTATAAATCTCGTACAGCTCAAAGTTAAATCTTCTTCTTCAGTTATTCACAACAACAAGTATACTCCGCAAAATCTTTCTCTCAAATATTGCGATACAATTTTCCTCTAGTTTTGTAATTGTCCAAGTTTCTGAAGCGTATGTCAAGACTGGCCGAACAAGAGTTTTGTAGATTAAGAACTTTGTTTTTCTAAAAAGAAACAGATTTAATAAACCTTCTCAACTCATAGACCATTTGCCGGATAGAGTCGGTTTTTTATTTTAGTAGTCAATAGTAATAGTACTGTTGTCAATTGTAATAATTGATCTCAAGTAAGTAAAACTCCTTACTGTATCAAATCTATAAGAATTTATTTCAAGATAGGGGTTTCTAACAACTTTACGACGACAACTTTACTGATGCCATTTATCAACCTATTTCAGAATTAAAATGCACAGGTTCAAAAATAAACACAAAAATATGTCTTGATATTTTTAAATTACACATAGATAAGAGCAATAACTTTACTTTAACTATTACAGTGTTTCACTGATAAAATAAACATAAAATTTTAGTTATAAAATTTGTACTTACAAAAATTAATTAGATGTTAATTGAAATATGAATACTTTATCAAATTAATTTTTTACATTATCATACTTTTTGACGTTAGGGGATAGTGAGAAATGTTTCATTTCCACTGGTGGTGAAATATAAAAGAAATTTTTAAAACATATGAAATTTTAAGTTGACTTTATCAGGAACAGAGAACACAGTTAAGTGACTGTCTGACCTATCATATCTTTTTTAAAATTATTTATATGCAATGGTAGACAAAGCCACTTTAATTCGAATTAATTAAACTATTAACGATTTATCTTTCAAATCAGTAGATAAAATATTTTCTGAAACTACAAAAATTTCATAGTAGAATAGTTGGAGTGTATGCATTATGCATTTGCTTTGTCTAGCACTATAGGAAATCTGTAACATATTAACAAACTACATTTTATATTGTGCATTCTGGAACAATAAAAATAAATAAATTTATAATGAAGTAAACCTTACCTCTTTGAGTAAACAAAATATAAAAATGTAAATATGTAAGAATAAAACCACTTACTGCAACTCGTCCTTTAGAAGCAAGAAAATTGAGGTCTTTATCAAGATTTACATTTGCCAGCATTTCAATGATTATGTTTACTCCATTATTATGAGTAATTTCCTGGAAATTAAATTAATTGCAGGAGAAAGTTAAACGAGTAATTAATGTAAAAGGAAATATTGTATTAAATATCAAATGAAACAAGAAAATAGATATGGGAAAGTAAAATTTTTACTAAAATTTCTTTGGAAATATGAAGTTTAATAGATAGGTTACTTATAACTATTTTTAAAGGCAGCACATAAAACAAATTAAATTATTACTTAAACTGATTAAATTACAACTTAACATAATGAACTTAAAAAAACACTATAAGTATAACTTACTACTTATCATTACTTAAATTATGACTTACGACAACCTAACTAAATGACAAAATCAGTGGATATTCAAACAACTTTTCAACCTTTATTACACCTCCTTATGGATGGAATATTAAAAATCTTTCCTTACTGGGTGCCTACATCATAAAAGAAACCCCTTGCTCAAATTTCATGTTTCTAGCTTCAGTGGTTTAGGCTCTGTGATGATGAATCAGTCTGTCAGGACATTTGTATAGTATTTTATTTGAATATATTAATAATAAAATGGCTATAAACATATAATATTAATAATACAATAATTATATAATATTATATGATTATATTTATATATGATTATATTTATATATGATTATAGTTAAATGAAACCCCTTGTCCAAATTTCATGTTTCTAGCTTCTGTAGTTTAGACTCTGTGATGATGAATCAGTCTGTCAAGACATTTGTAGAGTATTTTATTTGAATAGATTAATAATAAAATAGCTATAAACAAATAATATTAAATATTATATGATTATATTTATATATTTTACGTATGGTGTTTACTTAAATAATGATATATGTGCATTTCCTCAATAATATTAGTAACTTAAGTTCTGCTAGCAACTTATAAATTCCTTAAATTAAAAATTAAAATCAAAACAAAAACTTAAAAACAAAACAAAATATTTTTTACGCATTATTAAATGAAAACTCACATATATTCTTTCAATGTTGTCTTTGTCTTTATGGTTTAGAACATAGTCAGCTCCAGATTCTTTAACTAATTTTAAACCATCTTCGGTTCCAGCTGTGCCTATTACTTTTAGGTCTAGCTTTTTAGCTATCTGAACAGCTGCAAGACCAACTGACCCACTAGCTCCATGCACTAACACAGTTTCCCCTGCTTTACATTTTGCCCTATATTCATATATGTTTTATATTACAATAATACAGTTAAAGAAATAAATTTCAACAAATATATTTATACAGTAAATAGAAATTATGTAAAGCTATTATAAGAAAAGGGCTAGATACAAATATCTCATGCCCACACAATCATATTATTTCAAAAAGAATCTTTAAAGAGAGTATTCAACTATTACAAGAGATACATTAAATTCCTTTGCATTATCTTTTAAATTGACTTTACAAATAAATTTTGCTTTTAATGTATTAATCAAAAGATTATTAAAAAAATATTTACTAATATAAATTTTTTAATAGTTTAGATAATTTTCTGTACTCTACAATATAGCATAGTTATTAACATGCTTTATCAGAAAAATATTGAATTGATAATCTGATATGCTCCTAGATTAGATTTTAGTTACCTAGACTGTTTTACAATCTTTACGCCTTTCGATGCACCTCAAACTAGTAGTAAAACATTAATTCATAATGGCAAAAAATACAACTTAAAAATTTATAAATAAATAATTTTACATGATAAACATTTGGTACTTTTCAGTTAGACGGGCACAAGAGAAAACTTGCCAAAAATGTTGGTCTCTTCTAGCTTTTTTCTTATATTTCTTATTTCATTCATTTTTTTAAACATATAAAATTAAATAAGTAACAAAAAAAATAGTATTATAATACTATTTTAAATATTATTATTATTACAATATACACTATTATTTTTGAATGATGACTAA